CCACAGCCCTTAGAACTGAACACGGACTGCAGGCCAAGGAGCACGGAGGGCTTGCCCTACGGGTACTGGGGAGCCATGGTGGGTCTCGGTCTGACTGGCTCAGCTGTCCAAACGGGACCCAGGTTCACATCCGTCTTGTGTCTGTGTTTCCTGCGGGACAGCTGCAGTTTGTTATCAGCCTGCACCAACTGCCGGGGTGCGGATTTGAAGGCCTGGGGGTGAGGCTAGGCCAGAAGTGGCCCAGCCTCAGACCTCAGAGCCGACATCAGGCCCACCTGAGGCTGGGAGACAGTTGGTAGCTGGCCTAGCAGCTTCTGCAAGGAGCCTCAGGCCTCACCCTGCTCAAGGGTGATCCAAGCAGGTGGGTGTCCCTGCCCAGGCTCGGGTCCACAGGGCCCTTTTTCAGCGCCATCACTGGTGGCCTGGGGTTGGGACCCCACTAGAACTGAAGCTCCAGGCCCCCCTGCAAAACCACCTCTGGACCGTCTGGGGCCTGGGTGGCTGAGCTTGCTGTCTTCCCCATCTGTCCGCTGGGTTCCTGGGCGCTCAGTTAATCCCTCCACAGGATTAGCACAGTGTTCAGGAGTGTTCCTCTGAGGGTGGCTGGCAGGCGGGCGGACTCCTGCGGGGAGGCGCTCAGCTGGGCTCCTTCAGCTTCATCAGCCCCCAACCGGGTCAGGTGCTTGTTATCTCGAGATCCTGCGGCCTTTTCTGGTTTACAAGGTGTGTGGGAGAGGGTCCACTTCTGGGGGGCGGGTTGGCTCCAACCCCTGCACTACATGGGGGCCTTGATGGCTTGTGGTTTAAATCTGGGAGGCTGGAGTGGCTGGAGGGGCCACCACTCCTCTGTGACTTCCCTTCTCAGAGCCTCAGTTTACCCCTCTTGCGTCATAGCTCGAGTCCTGAGAATCCATGGGGCCCGAGTCTCCACACACAGGGGCCTAGAGTAGTGGGAGTGTGTGGGGGGGGGCGGGTAAAGCTCCGTGTTGCCAGGGACACCTAGCAGGTCCTGTCTGGGCACTGATGGCCTCCTCCTCCCCTGGCCCACAGGCCCCTTCCTGGCTGCCTGCCCACGCTGGGCGGCTCACAAGTGAAGAGGGTCTCAGCCTCCAGACGCAAGCAACATTTTATCAACCAGGCTGTGCGAAATTCGGACCTGGTTCCCAAAGCCAAGGGACGGAAGAGCCTGCAGCGTTTGGAGAATAGTAAGCAGGGCAGTGTGCCAATGCTATGGCCCCCTTACAGGGAAACACTCACTGACCGGGCACTAGAGTCAGGGCTCCAGAGGGTTCCTAGAAGTTTGGGAAGGCAAGGAGAGGTAGATGGGGCTCTAGAGACTGACTAGGTAAAAGAGGAAACAAATCTTGGGACAGCAGAAGTGAGTAGGTACCCCAATCACCGCCTCAACCCACGGACCCTCTGTTTTTCTATCCAGCCCGGTACCTCCTAACTCTGATGGAAACAGCTGGGGATTCTCCAGGCCCGGAAGATGGGGACCTGACTCCTCCTGCGGCACCTGGAATCTTCGCAGAGGCCTGCAGCAATGCCACATATGTGGAGGTGAGACTCTGGAGTCCCCCGGCAGCCCCTGAGATGTGCCCACCCCTCCCTGGTGGGCTCTCCATATTAGAATAGAGGACCCCGTTACATGAGAAGATGTCCCTCATGGTGCATCCCCGACTTCCATGGAGCTTCCATGGAGTGGGGTCATGCCTACTGAACTCCAAGCATCCTTTGAAACCCCCACAGCATCCAGCTCAGGCCTCACACATGTGAGACATTTGTAAGGAGGGGAAGCAGACCCAGGGGCCTCGAGGCCAGCCTGCATCCCTGTCTTCCAGGTCTGGAATGATTTTATGAACCGCTCGGGAGAGGAGCAAGAGCGAGTGCTCCGCTACCTGGAGGATGAGGATCAGGGCAAGCGGAGGCGCAGACCTGGCCGCGGGGAGGATCGGCGGAGAGGTGGGGTCCGGCTCGGGCCGGGCTGGGGGCGTGTCGGGTGTGTCGGAGTGGGCGGGGCTAGCGCAAGGTGTACTCAGGTGTGTAGTGTGGACGGGGTCTGGGGCAGGGGGTGGAGTTTGGGCGGGGCCAAGCTGCGGAGGGGCGAGGTTTTGTGGCTGTGGCCTCCTTGGTCACGGGGCCTTCCCCCCACTTTGCCACTTTCACAGAGGACCCGGCTCTCACACCTCATGAGTGCTTCAGGCGCATCAGCCGTCGCCTGCGGTCTGTGCTCAAGCGCAGCCGCATCCCGATGGTGAGTGGTCCCCATCTTCCTCTCAACCTCACCTTTCCACGCCACCGTCCTGACTTGTCCTGGTCGTGCTTAGGAGGAGATGGTCCCATGCAAGTGGGTGCTGCAGGGTGGATGGGAGTTTGGCGGACAAAAGGCGGGACCTGACACCCTTGGAGACCACTAGGGCACGTTGTGTGTGTGACTTTTGTGACCCTTCAGCTCTTCCCACCCACACAGGAAACCCTGGAGAGTTGGGAGGAGCGGCTGCTGGGGTTCTTCTCGGTGTCCCCCCAGGCTGTGTACACCGCCATGCTGGACAACAGGTACTGGTGGCGGGGCGGGGACAGCGCGCTCTCCTCTTCCCCGCTCTGCCTCAGCTCTGCTCACACCCCTTCTTCCGCAGCTTTGAGAGGCTCCTGCTTCACGCTGTCTGCCAGTACCTGGACCTCATCTCAGCCAGTGAGTGCCCGCTCCCAGGGAAGAGGAGCCAGGGTGGGGTTGTTAAAGCCTGGGTCGAGGGTCAACCCAGCCCTGCAGGAGACAGAGGCTCCCAGAACACAGGCCTTTGTCCTCCGTTTTTTTTTTTTTTTTTGTTTTTTGTTTTTTGTTTTTGTTTTTTTGGTATACCCAATGCTACTCCCTAACAGCTAGCCTCGGTTGCTCCAGGTGCCCTATCTGGTCCTCAGGCTCAGAGTTGCTGCGGTGATGGTTTCCACGGCAACCCTGGGACTTGATCCCTCTGGTTTCCCTCTGTGGGAGGTTGCTTCAGCCTCCACACCTGCCTCTTCTCACAGGCTGAGAATGGGGAGGGGTTTGGTGTGAGCGAGACTTCTCTGTAGAGGTGGAGATGCCTCTAGACAGAGCCCAGCTCACAGCTGCCACACACACCCCAGCCACCCACTTTCTTTTGTGTAGCCCAGGCTAGCCTCCTCTGGCCCAGCTCCTCCAGTCCTCACGTGATTTTTCCTCCGCAGGTGCTGACCTTGAGGGCCGGAGGCAGATGAAGGTCAGCAACCGACACCTGGACTTCCTGCCTCCGGAACTACTGTTGTCTGCCTACCTGGACCAGCAGTGATGACCCGGCCGGCCCAGACCTCCAACATCTGCTAACTTCTTGCATACTTTCAGAATGAGAACACCCCGCTTCCCTCCGGGGGGCCCCTTGCCCTGCCCCTTCACGACCCAGCTCGCAGTTAGCTCCCTGCTCAGGCAGGGGAAACCTGAGCTACCGTTTTCCGCTTTTTCTCTGTTGAGCATTTCTGTGGTGCAGTCTGAAACTCAGGCGAGCTAGACTCTTTTATTTCCCCCCCCAATCAGTTTTAATGAATTTGGCATGTTTGGAATAGATTTGTTTTAATTTCTCTTTTGAAGTGGGAGGCAAAAACACCCAGCACCAGCCAGCGGTGGGTTCTGTTGTGACCCCTCCTGACCTCCCCCTTTCAGCTCTGATGGGGATGTCTGCCGATCTCCCCAGGGCTCTTTGTCGTGTGTGTGTGTGTGTGTGTGTGTGTGTGTGTGTGCGTGCGTGCGCGCGCGCGCGTCTGCCTGGACATGCTTCTTTGTCTCAAGGGCTGAGTTTATGCTTTTATTTTGGTGGTGTGTGTATCACGTCCCTGACTCCCTGGGCTCTGCCTGTCCTTAAAATCCTCCTCGCGTCCCTCCTTATGCCAGGGGTCCAGGACTTACAGCCAGAAGCCTCTGTCCCCTCCCATCCCCTCTGCGGCCCAGCGTAGCTGTGGTCGCTGCAGAGACCTTACACGCTCCGCAGGCCTGTCCTCCTTCCCCTTTCCTGTGATTCTTTGTGCTTGGGAGAAAGGGACACTTTGAATAAAGCCTCGGTGCTCCGGCCCTGACTGTGTGCTTTGGTCTGGTGGGGGCGGGAGTGTGGAAAGTCACCAGGGCCATGGGCTGGAAGTCTGGACACGGGACCCTCCGTTCATTTTGAAATGTGTAAATGTGTAAAATGTTTTGGCTTAGTGCGTGGAGCCGTTAGCTGCCTAGTCTGCCCAAGCCCCGAGTCCCATCTCCAGCACATGTAAGCACCATGGTGACCAGCAATTCCAGCTACACCTGAGTTTGAGGCTAGCCTGAGCACACTCGGTGGGGTGGGAGGGCAGAGGCAGGAGGATCTCTCTGAGTGAGGCCAGCCTGGTCTACAGAGCGAGTTCAGGACAGCCAGGGCTACACAGAGAAACACTATTCCCACCCCAAAAAAAAAAACAAAAACCCAAATATAAATTTTAAAAATATATCTGAACCCATGGCCCCGTGATGCACAGCTGTCGAGCTTAAGTCTGAGAGAGAATCTGAGAGGCCAACCTGAGCTACACAAACAAAAAGGGGAAAATACAGTTATGTAACCGTGGGTCTTAATTCCCCCATCAGAGAATGTGAGGAAGATGAGGAAAAATATGGAACGCTTCACGAATTTGCGTGTCATCCTTGCGCAGGGGCCATGCTAATCTTCTCTGTATCGTTCCAATTTTAGTATATGTGCTGCCGAAGCGAGCACGAATCAGAGCGTCGCCCGAGCAGTATTTAAAGGCAAAAAACTCAGTTCCCTCTTAGTTAGGGTTACTATATTTTGGGTTTGAAATTGTAGTATGTCTCTAATTTTCCCCTGTATAAAACTAAACGTTATCATGTAAGATGTAGCTAGTGATCAGAAATGAGAGATAATTTGTCTTCTATCGCACAAAGAGTCGCAATGAATACTAGGAATTGCTATATGCAAATTAACAGGGTAGGGGCGGAGCCACGGCTTTCCCAGAAGTCTGTGCGAGGGGGCCGGCGCGGTCCGAGATGGCGGTGCCGGATACCGGGCGGTGGGGCGAGTGTGGACCGCGACCGCCCGGCCGACTGAGCGCTCGGGGTGGACAGGTCAGTGCAACGTGCAGGCCGCTGGACGCGTGGCCGGCGCAATCCGTGTGAGGCCGGCGAGCGGAAGGCCGAGGGGCGGAGCCTGCAGGGTCAGAGGGCGGGCGTGGGAGCAAAGCCTGCTGGGTAGCAGATGGTGGGGCAGCCTGCGGCTGCGAGGCTGCGGAGGGGGCGCGGCCCGAGCGGAGGGGCGGAGCCTGAGAGCACCGCCAACCAGAGACTGCGGAACAGGGGCGTGGCCTGAGGAAGTGAGGCTGCTCGAGGGGGCGTGGTCTAAGGAACGGCCTTTAAATGGGGTGTGGGCGTGGCCTGCCGGCCTGATGCTGATGGAGGGTTGCGTGGCCCGATAACCATAGCTAAGAGGGTCCGTCGCCGGTAGTTGGTTTGGCGGCGGCACCTAGGGTTTCAGAAGGAGTGGGTGCAGCTTCAGAAGCTTGGGAGGGGCGTGGTTTAAGACTTAGGTCTTGGGACGCAGCCTTGGGTGCTAACTTGTAGGGGGCGTGGCCTGAGCTACTAGGCGGGGGCGGGGCGTAGGGCCTAAACTTGGAGTGTAGGTTGAGGCCCAGACTTGAAGGAGTAGGGTGGTGCCTGGTTATGGGGGGTGCTTAGTGCTTTTGGAGGCTAAGCTCGGGCTGAGATCTGGGCGGGTGATAGGTGGGTAGGGAGGGGTGACTTTAGGCCCGGCGTTTATAGCAGGACTCGGGCTTCAGTGGCCTAGACCCACGTTAGCTGGGGTCTTGGGGTTTTCCTTGTTCCCAGGAGCCAGGGACCGTGCTGGGTGCGGTGGGCATGATGGACCTGGCCTACGTGTGTGAGTGGGAGAAGTGGGCCAAGAGCACGTACTGCCCGTCGCTGCCCCTGGCCTGTGCCTGGTCCTGCAGGAACCTCATCGCCTTCACCACGGACCTCCGAAATGACGACCAGGGTGAGTGTCCGTCCCCTTCACCAGGCCATGTAGGTGGGCTGTGCCAGGTGTTGATCTCAGATTTCCATACACGTGTGACCCAGTTTGAAAGGCTCTCGATGGCAGAGCCAGGCTCTCTGTTACAAGTTAGAGGGTTTAGAGAAGCCACCATCCTCCAGCTCTAGTGCTGGTGGGAAGGGGATGTTGTGGTCGCACTGGATAACCCTGCCCACAGGATTAGCTGCGTAGAGGAGCAGGAGCACCCAGGGAAGAGGTGAAACGGGGTACTGTGAGCCACACTGACCTTACCTGCTCTCCATCCATTGCAGACCTGACACACATGATCCATATCCTAGACACGGAGCATCCCTGGGAAGTGCACTCCGTCAACTCTGGCCACAATGAGGCCATCACCTGCCTGGAATGGGACCAGTCAGGTGAGGCTGCCAGGTTTGCTGTCGGTGCCGAGCCCTGAGCACCGAGGACTGCCTTCTTCAGGCCAGGGGGCCCGCTGGGAGTCCAGAGTCGACGTGTCCATCAGGAGGGCTCCTGACGCAGCTCTGTCATCACAGGCTCCCGGCTCCTGTCGGCCGATGCTGACGGGCGGATCAAATGTTGGAGCATGGCTGACCACTTGGCCAACAGCTGGGAGAGCTCCGTGGGCAGCCAGGTAGAGGGGGACCCCATCGTGGCTCTGTCATGGCTGCACAACGGTGTGAAGCTGGCGCTGCACGTGGAGAAGGTGAGAGACCCACTGCGGACGGAGGGGCACGGGGTGGAGGGGCTCCAGGCCCAGCTCATGCTGCCCTGTTCGCAGTGGGATACCTGAGCTCCTGTCCCGCAAACACAGATTTAACTGCTGCTCTTACCCCCCCAGCCTCCCCGTTCGCTGATGGCCCCTTGACCTTGTTTAACAGACAGCTGTGTCAGTGACATCCCATTTTACAGATGGCTGCCATGTGGCCTTCAGACCCCAGTCAGCCTTGGTTTAGTGGTGACCCAGAATTCCCTGTCCGTATGTAAGCTGGCGTTCCGCATGAGAGAGAAATGGACACCAGCAGAGTTGGACTCTGAGAATCCGTTTCTTCAGTAGAGCAGGAGAGGTGGCCGCCTGTGAGGAAGGGAGCGTGGCTAGGCCTTGGTGCCATGATTGTGCACCTCCACGGGGCCCAGTAGCCCTGCAGTGCCTGCTGAGGCCACGCCCACCTGTCACAGGCTTTCTTGGGCCACCAGCCAGCTCCCAAATCATGGCGTGGAGACTTATTGATTACTAACACCAGCCAGCTCCCAAATCATGGCGTAGAGACTTATTGATTACTAACACCAGCCAGCTCCCCAATCATGGCGTGGAGACTTAATTGATTACTAACACTTGGCCTTAGAGTAGACGTGCCCCACTAGCTCTTAGAACTTATTTCAGCCTCCGGGCTTTCACCTGCCTTCATCCTGCAGGGCCTACTTCCTCGCTGCCTAGTTGGCCCCAGGCTAGTCTCCCTCCTTCTTCTCTGCCTAGATTCACCTAGATTCCCGCCTACCTATTTTCTGCCAGCCCCCCGTCTCTTTACTAAATAAATCAGGAGCCTTAGGCAGGCAAGGTCAAACAGATAGTTAAACAACTGTGACACGCAGTTAAAGTCATATTCCACAGCACCTACCCAATACAACTCTTTACAAAAAAGATTGGGTGGGCCAGGTGGTGGTGGGGCACACCTTTAATTCCCAGCATCTGAGAGGCGGATCTCAGAGTCCAAGGCCAGTCTGGTCTGCTCTGCAGAGCAAGTTTCAGGACAGCCAGGGCTACACAGAGCAACCCTGCCTCAAAATAGATAGATAGATAGATAGATAGATAGATAGATAGATAGATAGATAGATAACAGGGCTGGACCTAGAGACACAGACCAACCCAGCACTCAGGAGGCTAGCCCTCTCTGAGCTTGAGGCCAGCCTGATCTACATAGCCAGTCCCAGGCCAACCAGGGCCGAACATTGATACTCTGTCTCACAAATTCAATGTAGGGACTGGAGAGGTGGCTCAGTGGTTAGAGCACAGGCTGCCCCTGCAAAGGACCTGGGTTATATTCCCAGCACCCACATGGTGGCTCCCAGCCACGTGTAATACCAGCTCCACGGATCCAACTCCCTCTTCTGACCTCCATGGATACCTCACTCGTGTGGTGTGAGAACACTCAGACACATAAAATACAATAAATTTTGTTTTTCCCCAGTTTTTTGAGACAGAGTTTCTCTGAGTAGCCCTGGCTGTCCTGGAACGCACTCTGTAGCCCAGCCTGGTCTCAAACTCAGAGATCTGCCTGCTTCTACCTCCAAGTGCTGGGATTAAAGGAGTGCACCACTATATAAATAGTGAGCCTGGCTATAAGTCTTATAAAGTTAACGTAAAAAGAGTTTTATTGCTCTCGTCATGGTAGTGCATGCCCGTCATTTCTGCACTTGGAAGGCTGAGGCAGGAGGATCATAACTTTGTGTCCCGCCTGGGCTGCATACCCTGTCTCGAGTAAACAAGGTGCATTTTGTATGTAAATGACCCCAGTGTGGACGTCCGGACGAGAGTGAGTGGTGCAGAGGCAGCACTGCACAGGCAGCGTCCACGGCCCCAGCTGCTGCCTCTGCGGCACAGGCGGAGACTGCGCCTTGAGGTCACAACAGAGAAACTGCGGGGCCAAATTTGATGCCCAGAGAAAAATGTCACTGCTTGCACATTACAGAAGAGGAGACCGAGAGTTAGAAGGCCCCGTCGTACAGTGCTCTGGGCTTGTGGGGATCAGCGAACGTGGACCCCAAGGGTCTGAGCAAGCCCTTCCTTCCTCCTCCAGTCAGGTGCCTCCAGCTTCGGGGAGAAGTTCTCACGTGTAAAATTCTCTCCATCACTCACGCTGTTTGGTGGCAAGCCCATGGAGGGTTGGATTGCAGTGACAGTCAGCGGCCTGGTGACTGTGTCCCTGCTGAAGCCAAGCGGGCAGGTGCTGACATCCACAGAGAGCCTGTGCCGGCTGCGTGGCCGGGTGGCGCTGGCCGACATCGCTTTCACGGGTGGCGGGAACATTGTGGTGGCTGCTGCAGATGGCAGCAGCGCGTCACCTGTGAAGTTCTATAAGGTGTGCGTGAGTGTGGTGAGCGAGAAGTGCCGCATTGACACGGAGATCCTGCCCTCCTTGTTCATGCGCTGCACCACCGACCCCAACCGCAAGGACAGGTTCCCCGCCATTACACACCTCAAGTTCCTGGCTCGAGATATGTCTGAGCAGGTAAGCAAGGTTTCATCCCCAGCCTGGGGGCAGAATCTGACAGGGACCTGGTGGGGCAGGGAGGGTCCCTGGTGGTGGCCCACTGTAGGGCCCCTGAGGCCCTACATCCCTGGGCCCCTTTCTCCACCTTCAGAGCTAGCACAGTGTCTCCATTCTGTCTGCCTCCGGCCATCCTGCCTCACAACCCCGAGGTGAAGTCAGGCTCTGGATGGTCTAGGCAAGTCCCCAGTCAGGGTCCTCAGCTTGAGTCCTTCTCATGAGTCCCCTCTGCCCGACTTAGAATATGTCCTGTCCCATCTTTGGGGCTCTCTTCCCACTGAGTTCCCACTGCGTCTGTGAATTCAGGAGCCCCCCACTTCTTGAAGGCCCTGCAGTCTTGTGCTGACAGTCAGTGTGAGCCGTGTCCTCACTGACTCCCCCAGGTGCTCCTGTGTGCGTCCAGCCAGAGCAGCAGCCTGGTGGAGTGCTGGTCCCTGCGGAAGGAGGGCCTGCCTGTGAACAACATCTTCCAGCAGATCTCGCCTGTGGGTCAGTCTCTGGGTTCCTCATCTTGTGGAATCTGGGGGTTTATCTCAAGACGGGGTCTTATCCGGGCGGCAGTGGTGCATGCCTTTAATCCCAGCACTTGGGAGGCAGAGAAAGGCGGATCTCTGTGAGTTTGAGGCCAGCCTGGTCTACAGCATGAGTTCCAGGACAGCCATCGCTACACAGGGAAACCCTTTCTCGAAAAACCAAAAGAAAAAAAAAAAAAAAAAAAGAGGGAGAGAGAGAGACAGGGTCTTTGTGTGTCCCTGGCTGGCCTTGAATGCACAGAACTGCACCCACCTTGGCCTCCTGATCCCTGTTAGTTCACTGAGATGAACTGCATAGCCCAGGAGGCTGTTGTCTTCCTGGCTGGAGTGGGATGCAAGGCCCCCCAGTCAAGGCCCCCTAGTCAAGACACTCTGTGAACCCCAGTTCAGAGGGAGGCTGGCGGTACCAGCTCACCTCCCCAGTCAAGGCCCCCTAGTCAAGACACTCTGCGAACCCCAGTTCAGAGAGGAGGCTGGCGGTACCAGATCACCTCCTCAGAGCACCTCTTGTAACCCTCTGTGGTCTCCCACACCCACACCCACGCTTGCTTACAGATGGGCACCTTCCTTCCCTGAGGCTGCCCTGGCATGGCCGTCCCCAGTACAGACAGGAAGGTGAGAGGGAGCGGGCAGAGCGCTAATGGACTCCTGGTGGCTCTGACGGTGGCTGGAGGACCTAATTGGAGGCCTAATGAGGTTGTGTCAAGAGGCCTCTCGCTGCAGTTCCGCAAACTGCCCTTTGTGGCCAGCGAGTAATTAAATGTGAATGGCGTCCCGCTGTGCTGCCTGCAGAGGGCTGTGAGTCACGCAGTCTGGCCGGGCAGGGCCTCACGCACTAGGCCCACACCCCGCCACACATGCCCACTGAACCTTTTCTGTGCACGCCGCCTGCTGTGCATCTGGCTCAGGGCCTAGATCTCCTGCTCAGTGGGTGGTGCCTGGCAGCCAGGCTGAGGCTCGGTGACCATGGTGACAAGAGGTGTCTGTGGCAGGGACCACTGGCTGCCATTGGACACTGACTTGTTTGGGTTTTGAGAAAAGTCCTGGGCTCTGTAGCCCTGTCAGCTGTCCTCCTGCCTCTACCTCTGCTTCCTGACTCCTTTGTGAGGGCAGACTTCAGTGCAGGGTGCCCTGACCACTTTAAACAGGAGGCTATAGCTGCTCTGGCCTCAGTGTCCTTTGGGAGTGATACCTGCTGGTGCTCTCTGTGGAGTCAGGACTGGTCTCACAGATGGAGACTGACGTATAGATAACCCGTCCAAGCCAGAGCACTCGGGGGCTGGGCTCCATCTCCAGCAGTGACCTGGACATAGTGGGGAGTGCCTGTCATCTCAGCACCAAGGAGCTGGGGGCAGAAGGGTCAGTAGAGGGGTCAAGGCCACTGTGGGCTCCATGAGACCCTGTTTCAAAGAAAACAAGAAAAATCCTTGGATTGCTCCTATTGGTCCTCAGGTCACCTGGCTGGAGGGGAGGAGAAGTGCTCTGATTGGCCATGCTGCCCTGAGGTGGTCTTTCTGTACCCCTCCCATACCCCCTTTTCCTGTCCCACTGTCCAGTTGGTGACAAACAGCCCATGATCCTCAAGTGGCGGATCCTGTCGGCCACCAACGACCTGGACCGCGTGTCAGCGGTGGCACTGCCCAAACTGCCCATCTCTCTCACCAACACGGACCTCAAGGTGGCCAGCGACACCCAGTTCTATCCCGGCCTCGGTATGTTAGGCCCAGAAGCACCCCCGAGCACCTGGACCTGGGGTGGGAAGGTGGGTTCTGAGTGCTGTGGGAGTGTGGACTGTCCCTCAGAAACTAGGTCCCGAAACTGCCAGATAGCTGCGCTCCTTGATGTGTCGCCCCAGAGCTGTGTTCCTTAGCGTGTAAGGAACTGTAGCTGATTAACATGGTTACAGCTGTAGCCGGTTACCAGAAAGCTGTGCCCTTCACATGTAAAGAGCTACGGCTAATTGACAGTGAGTTGGGAGCATGGGGTAGAACCCTTTTGCAGAGATAGACACATACAATCACCAGAGTATATATACGGTCCAGGGCTCAGATCCTGTAAGTCAGTCACGTGCTATCTCAGCTGCTCAGCTGTGAGATGGAGTTCCTCTGCGCATCTAGGTCCTATTCTCCTGCTCTCTCCCAAGTGACGGGAGAGTGCCCTAGAGGTGGGGGCGGTTACCAAGCCTAAGGAGGACCCTGGGACAGAGCCGGGGGCTCTCTGGTTCTTGAGGTCACTATGGGGCTGCCCGCCCCGCCCTGACCACACTCCTGCACCAGCAGGCCTGGCGCTGGCCTTCCAGGACGGCAGTGTGCACGTGGTGCATCGGCTGTCGCTGCAGACCATGGCTGTGCTCTACAGCTCGGCCCCACGCTCGCTGGATGAACCCGCCCTGAAGCGCCCCCGCACCACAGGCCCAGCCATACACTTCAAAGCCATGCAGCTGTCCTGGACGTCACTGGCCCTGGTGGGCATTGACAATCACGGGAAGGTGAGTGCCCAGACCAGGAGGGTGGAGGGGTGGTTGGTAAGGGGTGGGTAGGGCAGGTTGAGGAGGGGAGGCTGGGTAGGCAGTGTCCCCTCAGCACAGCCTCCCCCCAGCTCAGCATGCTGCGTATCTCTCCGTCGCTGGGCCACCCGCTGGAGCCCAAGCTGGCCCTGCAGCACCTGTTGTTCCTGCTGGAGTACTGCATGGTGACCGGCTACGACTGGTGGGACATCTTGCTGCACGTGCAACCCGGCATGGTGCAGAGCCTGGTGGAGCGGCTGCATGAGGAGTACACACGCCAGAAGCCCGCCCTGCAGCAGGTGGGTCTCACCCGCAAACGTCCCTCCTACTGCCTCCCCTCTGTGGGGTTGTGGGTAGGGCCCAGGGCCTGGCAGGCCCCCTGCAGCGCCCGTCAGTCAGTGATCCTGGGGAGTAGCTTGAATCACCCCTTCATCCTCATTCCCCCAAGCTCAGAGGTCTGTCTACGCTGTTCTTCCGTGGAACTGGTCAAAGGTGGGCGTCACGGGACTACATGGGCTGCCAGAGGTCTTGACCACTAGCCACCAGGGCAAGGGAAGAGCTGATGGCCATTCACAGAGGGTGACTCTGAGCGTGACTAGCCTGCGAGAGTGTAGGAGGGGGGTATAAGCCTGTGGGCCCAGCATTCCAGAAACTGAGGCAGGAGGATCATGATTTTGGGGTCAGTCTGGACTACAGAGCAAGACATTGCCTCAGAATGAAGTGGTCAGGGAAGACCGGGAAGCATAGCAGAGTGTGGGGACTCATAACTGGCCACTGTCACCCTTGCTAGTAGGTGTCCTTACAGTGCTGAGGGAAGCCCAGAGAGAGGACCCACCTGCTTCCAGTTGTCTGGCAAGTGGCTCTTTTCCCACTGTCCCATGCTCTAGGCCTTCAGTGTGAGCCCCAGCCTGCCAGCCCTTCCACTCACGGCTGTGCCCCCCCAGGTCCTCTCCACCCGGATCCTGGCCATGAAGGCCTCACTATGCAAGCTGTCACCCTGCACGGTGGCGCGTGTGTGTGACTACCACACCAAACTGTTCCTCATGGCCATCACGTCCACCCTCAAGTCACTGCTGCGCCCCCACTTCCTCAACACCCCTGACAAGAGCCCTGGGGACCGCCTGGCTGAGATCTGCGCCAAGATCACCGATGTCGGTGAGTGTTTGGCAAGGACCATGGTGACCATTTAATCATAATCGGCCCTTGAGGTGGGTGCTGGAGAGGGGCCCAGCCCTGTGCAGTCTTCATATCCTTAATGTTCTTGGATGTTTGAGGCCTGTCCAGTGTAAACCAGGTGTGGTGGAACACAAAGATGGCTGAACGTCATCCTTGGCTACAAAGCCAGTCAGGGGCCAGCCTGGACTGTGCCAGGTCCTGTCACGAAGCATCTCACACTGGAGCCAGGCTTTTCCTTGTGCTCTCGGTGCTCTTTCAGAGCGGTGTGATGCTGCTTCCTGCACGGCTGCGGTGGTGACTTCCCGCCACCTCACATGGGCAGGACCCTGCCCTGCCCTGGGACCCGTGGCCTGTGGCCGTCTCCCTGACCACCCGGTACTGTCCCCACAGACATCGACAAGGTCATGATCAACCTGAAGACAGAGGAGTTTGTCCTGGACATGAACACTCTGCAGGCTCTGCAACAGCTGCTACAGTGGGTGGGGGACTTCGTGCTCTACCTCCTGGTCAGCCTGCCCAACCAGGTGAGCCCCCTGACACCCCCAGCCAGCCTGTCCAACCAGGTGAGCCCCCCCACACCCCCAGCCAGCCCGCCCAACCAGGTGAGCCCCCCACACCCCCAGCCAGCCTGCCCAACCACGTGAGCCAGTCCCCCCCTCTCCTCCCCCTCAGCTTCCCCTCTGATCTCCCTGCTCCAGGGAGATATTTTTTTTTTTTAATATTTATCAATATTCTGTTTGTGTGTATGCTCGAAGGCCAGAAAAGGGTACCAGACCCCATTACAGATGGTTGTGAGCCACCATGTGGTTGTGCTGGGAATTGAACTCAGGACCTTTGGAAGAGCAGGCAATGCTCTTAACCTCTGAGCCATCTCTCCAGCCCTCCAGGCTGTGTTTTTGAGAGGCCACTGTGTCCTAGCCTTTTGCTGAGGCAGCTTTGCTTAGGGCGGCTCCTGGCCCCAGAGCCAGTGACTCCTCCTCCCTGTCTGTCACAGATCAAGCCCCTGGCTTCCTAGGTTCTGTGGAAGGTTAAGTCTGGGTTGGTGTCCACCAGGTCCCTGCCAGCACCACAAACACTGGACTGGTTGGTCACTTGTGAGCCACTGTGGTCTGTAGGGCACTGAGCGCAGTTCTGGCCTCCCCCGGCCTCTGTGCCTACCCTTGTGGTAAAGGCCACACTGTCTCAGACTTCACCCAGGGTCCCCACCACAGGGCTCCCCGCTGAGGCCAGGGCACAGCTTCCTGCGTGATGGCGCCTCACTGGGAATGCTGCGGGAGTTGATGGTTGTCATCCGCATCTGGGGCCTGCTGAAGCCCAGCTGCCTGCCCGTCTACACGGCCACCTCGGACACCCAGGACAGCATGTCCCTGCTCTTCCGGCTGCTCACCAAGCTGTGGATTTGCTGTGAGACATCCTCCCACCAAAAGACCAGCCCGTCAGAGGGCAGGACCCTGGGGAGGCTGCCCCAGTGCCGTGTGGGTGACGAAGTGGCTTCCGGGGAAGGCTGTTTCAGTGCAGTGACCTCCGACCCCTCCCTACAGGCCGTGACGAGGGCCCAGCCAGTGAACCTGACGAGGGCTTGGTGGATGAGTGCTGCCTGCTGCCCAGCCAGCTGCTGGTCCCCAACCTGGACTGGCTTCCCGCCAGCGACGGCCTGGTCAGCTGCCTGCAGCCCAAACAACCCCTGCGCCTGCGCTTCGGCAGGGCGCCCACCCTGCCCAGCAGCTCCTCCACCCTGCAGTTAGACGGCCTTGCCAGGTGTGCCTGCTGCCCACCCACCTCGGTCTCCACCCCACAGGGTCTCTCATCGGGTCTCTGCCCCAGTGAGAACTTTGTGTTCCACCTTTGCTGTGTGTGTAGAGGTGTTTGGTTTTGTCCAGTGGAGCCCGGGCTTGCTTCAGACTCTGTGGGAGGAACGTGATCTTGAGCGCTGGTCCTCCTGCCTCCAGCGCTGAGTGCACAGCTCTGGGGGTAGAATTCATTTCCTTCCCACTCTCTGGTTTGTGGAGGCTGCAGTGCAGCTCCCACCGGGTGGACCAGGCCAGCTCTCACCACCGGGAGAGGGTTTGCTGTGACCGTCACACAGTGAGGCCTCTGCTCCCATCAACCCATTTTCAGCCATGCTTGGAAGGTTTCTAGAGAAACTTTGGTCCTAGCTCACCAGGAAATGGCCATCAGCTCTTGTGTCTTACTGTTAAGCCTCAGGGTCATACACCAGAAGCCAACATGTCCCTACTCCCTCTCATCCCCAGGGCCCCTGGCCAGCCCAAGATTGACCACCTCCGGAGGCTTCACCTGGGCGCTTACCCAACCGAGGAGTGTAAAGCCTGTACCAGGTGAGGGTCTGCTGGCCAGGCAGCTTCATGAGGCCCTTGGTAGTCTGTGTCGTACCTGGGGTGTGGTTTGGGGTGCACCTCCTTGGTAGCCTGTGTTGTACCTGGGGTGTGGTTTGGGGTGCACCTCCTTGGTAGCCTGTGTTGTACTGGGGTGTGGTTTGGGGTGCACCTCCTTGCCTGCTCGCATCCCTGCAGGCAGAGGCGGGCAAAGTGGTGGGAGGGCAAGTGTCAGCAGCCCCTGCTCCCCAGGTGTGGCTGTGTCACCATGCTGAGGTCACCCAACAAGACGACAGCCGTGAAACAGTGGGAGCAGCGCTGGATCAAGAACTGCCTGTGTGGGGGGCTGTGGCGGAGAGTGCCCCTCAGCCGTCCCTGAGCAGACGCGGGAGCCTCAAGTCCCATGGTCACACCCAGGCCACACACAGAGCTTGAAGGAGTTGGTCTGTGTCCACCCTTCAAAAGGTCCACAGTCCATACGTCCCTGTCCAGGTTGGGGATGTCGTCCTCAGTTTCCCTTTTAGGCCTATAGGAGCGGAAGGTGGGCCCAATAAAGTTCTCTTGTCATCCAGGCCCATTTATCACCACAGTCCCCCCACTCTTGCCCACAGGTGTGCCCTAGCAGGCTCCCCCTCCCCACTGCCTCTCATCTGGTTTCTGGCAGCCTTTGCTCTTGGTCTCCAGGGTCCGGCCTTCAGTCTCCCCATAGCATCTGCCCCTGCAGTCACTGGCAACCAGGTCCTGGCCTCATGGAGCTGGGTAATTGGTTTTGTTTTCCCCCTGGCCCCTGTGGAGCAGAGAGTGCAGGCCAGTGGCACACGTGGCCCAGCCTGGGGAGGGCTGTGTTCAAGCCCTGGCTCCAGCTCACCGTGCTCCGACACAACCTGTGAGTGCAGCCATAGCCAGACATGGTAGCAGGACCTGGACCTGGTGGGGACCCCCAACCTGGAACCTATATAGTTGGGGATAACCTTGAACTCCTGATCCTCCTGTCTCTCCTTCCTGAGTGCTAAGATAGCAGGCAGTGCTCCCATTTCGTCCTAGAACACTGTACATCCAGAAGAGCCTGGGAGACCGGTGTGTTCCCTTCAGGGTTTTGTGATATCCCGGGATGGCCACTTGGCCACTGCTGGCCCTAGGGTACTGCCTCTGCCAGCAGAAGCCAGCAGCATGGCGTGGGGCGTGTTGGCCTTGCTCTAGCCATCCTTGACTTCCCATGGCTGGGAGCATGGCCGCTGGAATGACCAGCCATCCTGTGTGTAAGTTCCCTTCCTCCTCACCAGCCTGCGTAGCTGCTCACATCCTTTCTCTGCAGTGCTGGCCATGTTAGTGGATTCCAAGCCTTGTGGGGAACTGCAAGGAGCAGCTGCATGATGGGTATCTGGGGTTGTGGGATAAATGGCATTGAAATGCCAGCCTCCTGAGGAGACACAGCTGGGGCTTGCCTGTGCCTGTGCCCACCCCTCTGCTGGAGCCTGGGGAGGGCACACAGTAGGCGTTCAGTAAGTGCTTGTTCATAAAGATGAACCTGCCTGGCAGAACCAAAATTCAGGTCCAGGCTCCAGTTCTACTGCCATTCCTAGCAAGGTCCTGAGTGACCTCACCTCTCAGATGCCCAGTCTCCAATACCTACGGGAGGCCAAGGGACTGTCGATGTTTCAGTATCTGTCCTCCGGGGAGAAAGGCATGGGGCTTGACTCTGGGTTCTGCCCGTTGTCACCTGCGGGGGGCCTGGGGTGCTGATTCCACAGCTCTCCAGCCCATGTAGCACTGCAGACATCACTGACTCCCTCCTCAACGATTCAGTGTGGGCTCTGGGTCGGAATCCAGCCTTTGTTTATGGCCTCTCTGTGCCTCAGTTTCCCCTTTTAGTGTTTATGTCAGCTTCAGAGCATCTTGGCAGTGATGTCTGACCTCTGAGGGGTAGGAGTGGGCCAGGCCCCACGGTTCCCTGAAAGAGCACGCGCGCCTCCGTGTGGCTGAACACGGAACTACCTGTCTTAAGCCTCCCAGGTGTGTGCGTGCAGCAGGCAGTCAATAAAGACTCACTGGGCTCAGACAAATGCATTTATTGTGAGACACGTGTCTCCGAGGTCCCCTCAGATCGTTAAGTTACCATTCCTGACGTTTTCGATCCAATCTATGTAGGTCGACACGCGGGTAAAGACGCCCGGCTTCTTGCGGTTTCCACAGACTCGCGAGCCCCACGCGACAATACCCTCGACCGTGTTTCTGCACACCAGAGGGCCACCGGAGTCTCCCTGTGGGGTGGGGCCGCGAGTGACGTTCCCGCCCAATAGCCAAGCCACTGGCTCCCTGCAGCTGCAGGGCTCCTGAACCCCACCCACTCTTCCTGCAAGCCACGCTCCTCCTGGCCTCTGCAGACCCTCGGGTTCCACCCACCCTTGCCACTCACCCTGCAGGTGTCCCTGCGGTTGCTCTCTGCACACATCATGTTCTTGGTGACGGCCCCGTCGTGATGCACGCGCTGATTGCAGGTGTTACGGTCCATGATTGGCATTGTCAGGGTTTGCAGGACGTCGGGCCTTCGCCCTGCGTGGCTGACCACACCCCAACCGGCCACATGGCAGAGCGTTCCAGGGGGCAAGTCTCGGTCCTCGCGTTGCAAGGGCAGAGGGTGCACGTAGGGGCCCAGCGAGACATTCTGGGACAGCTAAGGGTGGGAGAAGAGTAATGTCATGGTAGGGGGCAGGGCTGGGAAATAGACTGGAGGTGCAGGAGGAAGGGTCGAGGGTAGACCCTGAGTGGAACCCAGGGGGTAGGAAGGACCCGGCTTCCTCACCTGCAAGAGGAGAAGGTCGTCCTCAATGTGGTCGGACCGGCTGCCCGGGTGACGCACTGCGCTTTGCACGTCGTACAGCCGCTTGGAGGGTTCAGGCATCGACAGGGAGTGGGCACCTAGGAGCACTTGCACAATCTCATTCGTGGTCCTGGGGACATGACGAGGGCCCACCTCAGATCCACGTCGCACCCTCCGGAGGCCCCACCTTCTCCCTTCCCCCACCCCCACCACTCACACTCCGTCCATGCAGTGCGCAGCACTCAACACCCACTGCTCATCCACTAGGGTGCCACCGCACACGTGTGTTCCGTTCACCCGCACCGAAGCCATGTAGGGCCAAGTATGAGCCTTGGCCTCCTGGCCACCCAGGATCCGGCCTCGGGGCTGCGCTGCTGAGGAAGGTGGGTGCACTATGATTAGTCTGGGCTGCACCCAGAGAGACGCCAGACACCACCTCCCCCCTCCCGTTTGCTCCAGATCCAGAACCCCATCCATCTCTGTAAAATACACTTCGAGATGCTGCAAACTCAGAAGCCTGGTGGGTGGGTGCACACCCCTCAAGACCACAGTGAATCTGTGGTAGCCGGAAGACAGCTCGCAGGGGATCCCGTCTCTTCTTCCACCATGCGGGTTCAGGAGATCAAACTCGGGTCTTCCGGCTTGGCCACCAACCCCTTTACCAACTGAGCCTGCTCACTGGCCCCAAGGTGAATTCTAGTTCTTTAATTCTATAAAGCCTACAGGTTTCAGATTCAGAGTCCAGGAACTCAGACTGCAGACTGGTGTGTGTGACTGCAGGAGTGCGCCCCTATGGTGAGCCGGCCTGCTGCTGTATCCAGCTGTCCCTCTCTGAACCACTCACCACATTCAGCCGCCCGCAGGACCACCAGAACCACGAGCCACACAGAACTTTGCATTCTGACGCTAATGAGTCCAGATGCTGACCCAGGCACTGGTCCTCGGGGTCTATTTTATGGGGCAAGTGCCTCCCACCCCCAGTCTGCCTCTTGGGCAGAGAGCCAACTAGGGAACTGGGAATCTACTCTTTCAGATTTGAGTGTGTGGCCCTTCTGGGACTGCTCATATAAACCTTCGATGTGCACGGGGATCCTTCCTCTCCCTCCTGCCTGGGACCCCGGCCAGTGCCCATCCTGAAGGTGACAGCACTTGGGATGGGTGGGAGGCTGGACCACCCAGCACCCTGACCCAGTAACTGTCCTTCCAGCATGGTGTCTGTCGCAACAGCAGCAGGAGGCCAGCTGGCGAACATGTCTCCATCTTTTTACCCTCCCACACTCCCTCCTCCAACTTGGAAAGAGGTTGTTTGTCGGTGGGGGCAGGGAACATTCCTGTGGCCGTGAGGGGCCCACACCTCAGTAGCTTGGCGGGAAGGAAATGGAAAGGAAAGTCCTATGGATTTTGCCTTCAGGTATGACCTGATCCCTGACATCCTTTGCCTTTCTTGCCCAGGCTGCTCCCTGTCCAGGCTGCTCCCTGTCGCGGTGCAGGGACCCTCACTGGAAAATCTGACCCTCATGTTAATCAAGGTCTGACTGGCTGTGTCTAGGTCACAGTCCGCCTCTCTGCTAATTCCTAGGGTGGGTTCCGGAGTGGAGGGAGGAGGTGGGGGGCTTGGAGGGTCCGCGAACCAGTTCCTCACAGAGTAGTAAGTTCTCTCTTTGGGGGTAACTTAGTGTTGCAGATGTGATGTCAGAACCCCAGGAGTCTGCTTTATTAAAATCAGAAGCCACCTGGTGCCTGAGGCTTTCAACCCCAGCACTTGGAAGGCAGAGTTAGAAGGATCTCTGTGAGTTCGAGGCCAGCCTGGACTACAGAGTGAGACCCTGTCTCAAAAGCAAAACAAAACAAAATCAGAAGCCTTTTAGGACAGAATCCAGATTGTGCAAAAAGAAACCCGAGAAATTAAAAAAAAAAAATTGGCTACCACCCAGGGTCAGGCCAATAGGACACACTTCAGCAAACAACTCTGAGCCTCCACACACTTGGAGGCCTGCCCTAGTGGGGTGGGACAGAAGACAGGCTAATGGGAAGCGGATCACTTCTCATTTTACCTGCATGCTTTCTTTATTTCGATGTCCCATGTGCTGTGTGGCAGCTCGCAGGAGTCTCCCTCCACCATGTGCTTCCCGGGACAGGCACCTTCGCCACTCTGCAGCCTCACAGTCCTTATTGTTCTTAATTATGTGTATGGGTGGTGCGTCGCATGCCTGGTGCCCACAGAGTCCAGAGGAGGATGTGGAGGCCCCTGGAATGGAACGGGAGCTATAGGTAGTTGTGAACCACCCCCAGGCACTGCTGAGTCACCTCTCCAGCCCCTCTATGTGTTTTGAGACAGGGTCTCACTGTGTAGGCCAGGCTGTTCTCAAACTCATGGCAATCCTCCTGCCTCTGCCTCCTCTTGAGTGCTGACCACAACGGTCATCTCAGTGTCTCAGTGATAACTTTTTTTTTTCCTTCTTTCGAGACAGGGTTTCTCTGTAGCTTTAGAGCCTGTCCTGGAACTAGCTCTTAGAGACCAGGCTGGCCTCGAACTCACAGAGATCCGCCTGACTCTGCCTCCGAGAGCTGGGATTAAGGCCTGTGCCACCACAGCCAGGCAGTGATAGCCTTTTGTACAAAGTGGAGAACATGCCTTTTGCTGCGACTTTGCCCCAACTCGGCAACTGATCCCAGGAGGTGCCCCTCACACGAGGCAGTGACCCCAGGAGGTGCCCCTCACACAGGGCAGTGGCTCTGTTCTGCATTCTGTGGCATGGTCAACAGACACCAGATCCTGTGTACCAAGGAAACATTGCTTTTATTGAGGGCCGCCAGGAGCAGCTGAGGGGATGGGCCAATCAGCTGGTCCCACTCTTGGGATCTCTGGGGTGGGTATGGGGCGGTCATCATGGATGAGGTTGATGGCAGGGAGAGGAAGGCAGGTCTTAGCTCTCGGGATCTCTGGGGTGAGTGTTGGGGTGGTCATCATGGCCGCGGATAATGGAGTTGATCCAGTCTGCGAACTCGGCCACAGGCGCAAAGGCGTCTGGGAACAATCCAGACCCGCAGCCCCCACGGATAAAGGAGTCGATGCCTTGGACAAGCCCATTACAGACCAGAGGTCCTCCAGAGTCCCCCTGTGGAAGCATCAAGGTCAGAGACTGGACCTCGAGGCCCCGTTGCCCATACCCCGCACTGGCAAGTCCCTCCTGGGCACTCACGAAGCAGATGCCTGCTCGCCGCCGCGGCACCAGCGTACATACATTCAGACGGCGGCGGCAGAGGTTTGTTACCACCGTCACATTGAGCTGTTGGAGCACGCTGGGTAAAGGTCGGTTTGTGCCCAGCCTGCCCCAGCCCATGGCCAGGCATGAAGTGCCGTTATCCACGCCACGGCCCTGGGCAGGCAGCTGGGCCACCTGCACGTTGGTGTTAATGGTGGCTGAGCCATTGAGCTGTGGTGAGAGGAGAGACTTAGAAACCATGAAGGAGTCACAGGCCACGTTGGGCATCGTGTGTCCCCACTTTCCTTAGTGCCCTGCCCCCAAGACGCACTCGAGGAAGAAACGAATGTTCCCCCAGGATCCCCAGAGCCGCAGGGTCAGTGAGTGGAGAGGCACAAAAAATACAGGCGTTTGTTAATTGAATGCCGCACCCTCACCATCTGGCCCACAGAACGGTTTTTCTCCACTGTACTGAGCTGGAACAGGGTCAGGGGGTGGTGGCTGCAGTTGCCCAGGTGTGTCCGTCCCCGCAACCCAGACCCTTCTGCATTGCGCTTTTCTCAAGTCTTTTCACCTGAAGCTCACCCTCCCGGACTCCCAAGCTCACCTGCATGATTACAATGTCATTCACCAGACGCGAGGGGTCGAAGCCATTCTCGAAGACCCGCTGCACCGAGAAGATCTGCCTAGTGGGTTCCCGACGCCGGAGGTTGTGGGCCCCCAACACTACCTGCACCGACCGGAAGTTTCTATAGACAGCCAAGAGGGGAAAGGAGGGAGGAGCGTGGGTGGGAGGCCCCACCTGACCTCCCCACTCTGGCCCATGTGGATGCTGAGGTCTGGGAGTGGTGGAGGCAGGACTCACAGGCCGTTCACACAGTGGGCTGCTGACATGACAAAGTTTCTGGCGATGAGTGTAGCGCCACAGAAGTGACCTCCATGTCGTTGCAGGGACGCCATGAAGGGCCAAGCGTGGGCCTGGGCTGGCTGTCCACCCACAATCTCTGAGGCCAGCACTGGACCTAGGGACACAGGGAGGAAGAATGAGTCCCAGCCACCAAGTTCTTTGAACCCTTAATGAGAATTCAGAAGGTTGATGAGGGAAACTGAGGCAGAGAGGATAAAGGACCTGCCCAGGTGCTCCTGGACTTGAGACCTAAGCACCTCCCCCAGGCTTAGAACCCCTGTTTCTGCCCGGCAATGGTGGCACACACTTTTAATGCCAGCACTCAGGAGGCAGAGGCAGGTGAATCTTCTGAGTTCGAGACTAGCCTGGTTCCAGGACAGGTTCCAAAACTACACAGAGAAATAAACAAAAAGAACCCCCGTTTCCTGATAGTGCCCTGCCCACCAGAAACCTCCATGTCTTTCTAAAGTCCTGGGGGACCCGAGGAAAGACAGTGGAGCCGGACAAGCGGTCAGTGGGGTGGCTGCGCCTCCATGCGCACTCACCACCCAGGAGCAAGGACAGCAGCACCGGAGCCAGAGTTGGGCTGGATGATCGGCTGAGAGCCATGGTGAGGCTGTGCTCTCGTGGTTTCCCACGCCCCTACCTAACAGCCATACTTATAGCCCAGCCAGAGGCCGTTGAATTGCCCCATGCTGGCCACAGCCCCACTTCCTCCCTGGGGACAGGATGGTGGGGGTGACATGGAGAGGTGTGTGCCCCCTGGGGTCCCCACTTCAGCTTCATCCCTGCTATTGAATAGCAATGAACACTCAGCAAGCCATCCTTTTCTCTCCTCCTTTTTAAAAACTAGACCCTCACGCCGGGCAGAGGTGGCACACACCTTTGATCCCAGCACTTGGGAAGCAGCAGGCGGGCAGGTGGATCTCAGTGAGTTCAAGGTCAGTCTGGGCTACAGCAGGATCCACGAGGGCTAGGGCTACGCAGAGAAACTGTGTCCCAATAAATAAATAAATAAAAGAGGATCTCAGGTAGCCCAGGCCGGCCTCAAACTCTTAGTTTCCCGGCCTCCACCTCCTGAGTGCTGGGATGGCAGGCATGCCCTCCAGGCTCAGCTTGGCGCCCTGTACCCAACTACTTATATCTAAAGGCCAAGTCCTTTGCCTCAGTTTGCCTTAGGCGTGATAATAACAGCAACGCGTGGTGCTCTGGGTCTTCAAAGGGGCCAGTGCCAGCCTGACTTTTTCCTGAGGTGACAGAGTGGCTGGCTGGATCCTTACTTAAACCAGAAAAATTGAGGGACATGGCAGCTCTACCCACCCAGTGACAGGTGAGTGTGTCTGTGTGTGCTTGAGAAAAGGTCTCACTACTTAGCCCAGGCTGGCCTCTCAGAGATCCACCTGCTCTGCCTGCCCTGCACTGGGACTAAAGGTGTGTGGCGCTATCATGCCCATGCAAGGCCCATGCCCAGCACAACGGGTCATCTTAACCTGGTTCACGCTGCAGCCGCTCAGCCCCTAAATTGCGGGTCGCTCCTCACAGTGGAGAGCTCACTCCCATCTGACCCCATCCATGCCTGGGTCCCCATGAGAAGGAATCGCTATCCAGACTGTGGGTTCCCCTCCCACAAAGGAGACAGGACTCGGGGGCCCCAGCCCTCCCCCCACTCTGTGGCCAGCTCCCCTCCCATCTCTTCCAGGAGCTGCTGCCAAGGCTGTTGCAAAACCAACGTCCCAACTCTAGGATCGGGCATGGTGGGGTGGAGCCCAACGAACATGGGCAGGTGGCCAGGGTGCCTGGGATCCCAGTGGGGACAGCTGCCCTCTTTCACCCAGATACACGCTAACTCGACTCCTTTTCTTCGACAGTGAGTGCCTGCTGTATACACCATCCCTTGCTGCCTGGCGGGGAGGGCAGGGCAAACAAGATCAGGAGACCAGGTCTCACCGCAGCTACACTTATTGAGATTGAGCACCACCTGTATGCTGTGCTCATCCATGCTGCGGAGGTTAGGTCTGCATTCGGGTTCATATTCCTCTGCTGTGGAATTCCAGGCCCTGAGGTAACCCCTCTGAGCTCAGGCTCTTCTCTGACTCCATTTAGTGTCCCCAGATCCCCAGTGTCTCCATAAGAAACAGTCTGCACACAGCGTGACACACTGGGGACCCATCCCCAGGAGTTGGAGGATTGAAAAGAGGCTGGGGTTCAGTGGGCAGTTGCCCTCCTGGAGCGCACCAAGCCCCGGAGTGGCTGCTCACACCTGTCATCCCAGCACTTGGGAGGTGGAGGCAGGAGGGTCTTCGGCTTTGTAGGGAGTTAGAAGCTAGCCTGGTTTTCATGAGACTCTCCCAAAGCCAAAGCAATGTTAGAGAAGGAATAAGCCTGTGGCCCCGGAACAGCGCCACCAAATGGCGGCACCAAGAAAAGTCAGAGAGCAGCCCACTCCCACTTCCTAAGACCCTGTGGAGACCGTCCCTCTCTCACCCTTCCAGGGCCGGCTTGGGACCTCTTTCCCTCCTCCCTGTGCTGGCCCCAGCTCATTTCCCTGCCGCTGGGGAAAACCCGAGGCTTCTACGGCTGCCCCTTGCTCTTCTGGCCTCGCTGTGCCCGTCCCTTGGGTCCCGGCCCCTGCTCCCGGCTTTCCCACTGCCGTCCACCTTGCCTCCTCCACCAGGAAGGCCTCCTATCTGCTTTGACAGGATCACAACCGTGAGGCCCCGAGAAGCCCAGCCCCTACCCACTGTGGTGTGAAAAGAGCCCGGGCTTCAAGGAGTCCGGAGCTGGGGGACACCTCACCAAACCCCACCAGCCCCACATCCACGTCTGGGTGTGTCCCGGTTCTAGTTAGGGTAATTGAGACACGGAGATGAGAAGCAAAGGGGGTGCTGAATCCAACCGCTGCGGTTTCGGAGTGAGCCTGGCTTCCCCTCCACCCCTGTGGTAAATTCCCGGCCTCCTGACACCGAGGCTCTGGCCACATCCCAGGTCCACATGAAGTAAGACAGACAGAAGACAGCTTTTAAATACTTCTCAGATTTACTAAGGTCACATGGACTGGGGGACAGAGCTGGCTCCACTCCAGGGGGTGCGGAGCTGAATCCAGCTGGAGGAAAAGCCTGGAAGGACCACCCTGCTCCAGACAGACTGGAGTGCAGAAGGGTAGCTCAAGGCTCAGCGCCCCGGAGCACCGTGTGGATCCAATCCACGTACATGGACACCCGGGCGAAGAAGTCGGGGAACTGAGGGAAGCGCATTCCCGGATCACGAAGGAGTCGACTCCGTGGAGAAAGCCATCACAGATCAAGGGGCCGCCCGAGTCTCCCTGAGGCAGAAGAGTGATCAGTCCCCAAGCTGACCGAAGTCAGCCGGGATGAGGCCACTTGGGAAGAGTCAAGCTCCACCAGAGGCCCCGCCCCCACAGAGCGGCCCCCGCCCCACAATCACAGGCCCCGCCTCCCACGGCCCAGCCCAGCACTCACGAAGCAAATGCCAGCTGCCCGCCGTGGCACCAGCGTGCACACGTTGTGTTCCCGGCACAGGAAGGTGACCACCGTGACGTTCAGCTCCTGCAGCACGCGTGGCGTGGGCGCGCGGGTGCCCAGGCGGCCCCAGCCCATGGCCAGGCACTGGGTGCCCTGGGCCAGCGACTGGCCCTGCTGGGGCAGCGAGGCCAGCGCCACCTTCTCGCCCACGAGGCTGGCCGGTTCAGCTGCAGAAAAGAAGATGTGAGGCCTCTTCCCCACCCGCCACCCTAGGGACCTAACATCTCTTTCAGGCCGAGCACTTAAACAGCAACAACTGGGTGGGGGCTCATGCCCTAAACCCAGCACTTGGGAGGCAGGCGGATCTCTGTGAGTTCGAGGCCAGCCTGGTCTACTGAGCGAGTTCCAGGACAGTTAGGGTTGTTACACAGACACCCTGTCTCAAAAAACAAAAACTCAACTGAATACCCCACTCTGTGGAGAGCTTTGAAGCCTTGTTGGTGCTCAGTCCCAGCTCCTCAGGAAAAACTCTCTGGAGAGAGCTGTCTGTTCCTACAGCATGATGCAGAGGGAAGGTTTCCGGCGGTGAGGCTGACTGTTGTACACCCCCCCCCCCCCCCCCCCCCCCCCCCCCCCCCCCCCCCCCCCCCCCCCCCCCCCCCCCCCCCCCCCCCCCCCCCCCCCCCCCCCCCCCCCACCCCCCCCCCCCCCCCCCCCCCCGTTAACCCTAATCCTGACTCAGGCTCCGTTTCTGACCATAACCCTAACGTTAGCCATGGCCCCAACAGTAACCAAAACGTAGCCTCAACCCTAACCCTAACTGCGGCCACCAACCAAGCGCACCAGACAGGAAGCACAGCTGGAGCAGAAGCTGAGACACTGACACCTTCATGCTCCCGGTGTCTTCCGCGGGGCCGACCTAGCTGAATGAGCAGTATGTCATTGAGGTTCTCCTCAGGGTTGTAGTTGTTCTGGAAGACCTGAACGATGGTGAATTTCTGCTGCTCAGGCTCCTGGCTTTGCAGATCATGGGCACCCAGCACCACTGTCACCAGCTGCCAGGGGCTGTGGGGCCAGGGTCGTGGAATTTTGTCTGTTACAGGGACCCAGCCCCTCACTAGGGTCGTCTAGGTGAGAGGAACGCTTTATGGTAGTTTCCTGGAGTAGAAACTGGGGCAGAGCTGAGGCCGGGAGAGAGGGAAAGGACTGGGAGGGGAAGTGACTACGGGGCACCCAGCCTGGTGGGTCAGCTAAGCCCTGCAGCCTCCTCACTGGCCCCTGGCTGTTGTACTCACATGTCCTGCAGGCAGTGGGCAGCCGTCAGCACGTACCGCGGGTGGATCAGCGTGCCACCACAGAAGTGGCTCCCAGGGGACCTGCTCAGCTGCAGGGAGGCCATATAAGGCCGAGAATGGGGCTGAGCCTCATGTCCACCCACTATCTGGGAGGCCTGGACTGCACCTGAGGGAGGAAGGTGTCAGTCAGCTCTATGGCCTCAGGGAGACCCATGCCTGGGGAGGATTTGGGGGTCCTGGCTTGAACCTATGGTTATTATTTTGTGTCTCACTCTGTAGACCAGGCTGGCCTCGAACTCACAGAGATCCCGCCTGTGCAGGGATTAAAGGGCTGCGCCACTAATCCCAGTTTCTGCAATTCTGCATACCCTAGAAATCCACCCCCCCTACAGCAAGGGCCTCTGGGTAGCACAGTCATAGAGACTTCTAACAGAAAACGATCAAGGGAGTGAAGCTGTGCTGCAACTCAGTGGGCAGAGCACTTGTTCAGAACCCATAAGGCCGTGGAACCCATCTCCAGCACCACAGAAAGCCAGCACGGTGGTGGCAGCCTGCTGCTAGTATTGGGGAGGTGAGACTCGAGGCTCAGGAGCCCAAACTGGCTATAAAGTGAGTTCAAGGCCAGTCTTGGCTACATAAGACCCTGTCCAAAGACCTAGGCTTCTCCCTATTCATCCTTCTCCTTCCAAGCACTTAGCCAAGGGGTGCCCTGGTATCCCCAGCTGTGCCAGGAGAGTGCTGGTTGATGGACAGACCCCTACTCACCGCTAAAGACCAGGGCAAGCAGGAGGAAGGGATGAACCCAGCAAGGGATGGGTGGTTTCTGGCCATGGCCAGGCTCCTGGCCCCCTGCTTGCTGAGCCCCTCTTATACCCAGCTCTGTGGGGAGCCGTTGAAAGGTGGCTGAAGGCCGGCAGGGCTGGGTATTCCACTTCCTCCTTCCATTTTTGGGGCCCAGGAGAGTATGCAGTAAGGCAGGATAAAGGGGTCTCTCTGGAGGCGTGGGAAGCCAGCTGCCACCCACTGCATGCTGAGGGTCCTGGAAGAGGCCTTGACTGACAGCCACAGGGCCCTGTGATCTGATTGGTCATATCCTGCTTGGGTTTTCTCTTTAGGGATCATTATTATTTCTCCTTAGTGTGGTAGTGTGTGTTCCCTTTTTGGTGGTTGGCCTTGAACTCCCCTCCGCCCTGCCCCAGCCTCCTGCGGCCTGGGCTTTGCTTTCACACTGGGATCATTTCCTATTCCTCTCTCTCTATCTCTCTCTCTCTCTCTCTTTTTTTTTTTTTGGTTTTTCGAGACAGGGTTTCGCTGTGGTTTTGGAGCCTGTCCTGGAACTAACTCTTGTAGACCAGGCTGGTCTCGAACTCACAGAGATCCGCCTGCCTCTGCCTCCCGAGTGCTGGGATTAAAGGCGTGCGCCACCACCGCCGGGCTCTCTCTTTCTTTTTTTAAGTAACTTTAGCTTTGGGGCTGGAGAAATGGTTCAGTGGGTAAGAGCACTGACTGCTCTTCCAAAGGTCCTGAGTTCAATTCCCAGCAACCACATGGTGGCTCACAACAATCTGTAATGAGATCTGGTTCCCTCTTCTGTCATGCAGGGATACATACATAATAAATTAATAAATCTTTAAAAAAATAACTAGCTTTTTTCTGTTTCTTTCTCTCATTTTAATTTTTGCGCAGGCAGATGTGTAGACACACATGCACATAGATGCCTGAGGTGGCCAAGACATGTTCCTCAGGTCTTCACCGCCTGACACACTGAGGCAGGACTTACCCTACGGTTTCAGTCAGCCTACTCACTAGCTGCTGCTTGCGGTGGAGCGGGGAATCCCTGTCGTTGCCTGGCCCTGCTCCCACCCAAACTTGGGAATACAAGCAGGCTGTCTCCACCATGGAGTTCTTGACCAGGTGTGGGGCAGGGACAGTTCTGAGGACCAGAATCCCAATCCTCTCTTGTGCCACAAGCACTTGACCCACTGAGCTATCTCCCAGCCCCCTTCCTTCCCTTCCCTTCCCTTCCCTTCCCTTCCCTTCCCTTCCCTTCCCTTCCCTTCCCTTCCCTCCCCTCCCCTCCCCTCCCCTCCCCTCCCCTCCCCTTCCCTTCCCTTCTCTTCCCATCACGCCCCCTTTGTTAAATCTCAGGCTGACCCAGAACTCACATCAACCCTCCTGCCTCCATTTCTCAAGTGCTGGGATCACAGGGCAAACATATCCATTTATTATAAAACAGTCTAAACTCAGAATGCTGGAATATAGCTAGTGGAATGGGGGATGGTGAAGTATTTGCCTAGGATGTGAGACCCTGGGTTCCACCCCAGTACTACAAAAATTAACTAATTCTTTCCTTCCTACATGCCCCCCCATGCGTGCGTATGTATGTGTGTGTGTGTGTGTGCGCGCGTGCGCGTGTGTCAAAGGACATCTCTCAGAAGTCAATTCTTCCCTCCCATCTATATGAGTCTCTGGTATGAACTCAGGTAGTCAGGTTTGGCGGCAAATGCCTTTCCCCTTTGAGCCATCTTGACAGCCCACAAATAAAGAAGGTAATTAATTAAATTGAGGTAAAATAATAAACCATATAAAGAGCAAGAAACTACTGACCAGTTAGACTGGCACTAGGAGAGAGAGAGAGAGAGAGAGAGAGAGAGAGAGAGAGAGAGAGAGAGAGAGAGAGAGAGAGAGAGAGGGAGAGGGAGGTTGTGTGGTTTTTTTCGTTTGGAAACGCAGCCTCCTCGCTGGCAGAGGTCCATGGGTCCAGGAAAACTTCTTACACAACCCAACGGCTGGGGAGACTCTGGGTCCAGTGTTGGTTCAGAGTAATGGCACCATCCAAAGTTCTTCCTCATCCCACACCTCCTCCTGCTTGAGCTCATGAGGCTGAGACACCAGCGTCTTCTGATCTTCAGGGAGACTTCTTAGTGACCTTCCATCGCTCGGGTGCCACAGTGTGTCCCGTCCTGGGGAGGACTGAATGGACCTTCTGTTCTCGGACATTTCTGAGACAACATCTCATGTAGACCAGGCTGGCCCCCAACTCATAGAGCTGTGCTTGCCTTTGTCTCCTGAGTGCTGGGGTTAGGACTTAGGAACTTTGATCCCCCTGGTCCAGCCTCCTGGATGCTGGGATTACAGCAGAGTTTTAGGATACGATGTTCAGCCTCCTGCCCTTGATCTTAAACCAGCCAAGGCTCCCTAGCCACTGCTGACATCCAGATCTCTCAGCTAGGCCATATGGCCACCAGAGCCCAGCTCCTCATAGCCATGTGGAGATTCTACCTGGAAGACCCCAAATCCTCCTCCCCCATTCATCCCCTGCCGGTCACACTGGTTGCCACAGCTTCCTCCTTCTCCCAGGACCTTCCTTCAACACTAGAATTCCTAAGAGGTCACCCAAGCTCCTCCCCTACTGACAGGGAAACTGAGCCCAAGGCTCCCCTAGGTCTCTGTGTCCCCCTCTGGGTTTCTCCACTGCCGCTTTTCTGTGCCCTGTGCCCCAGGAACTATGGAGAAGGGCTGCCCCAAGGGGACTGGTCCACCCCTTTCCCTGAACACTGGTGGACAGTGATGTCCTTGAGCCTGCGTGGGCCACTTTTACCATCCTTTCTGTAACTTGTTTGTTTCCATTTTTGAAATGGAGACTCTGTAGCCCAGGCTGTGCTAGAACTCACTCTGTAGCCAGGCTGGCCTCAAACTCAGAATTCCGCCTGCCTCTGCCTCCCGAGTGCTGAAATCATAGGTATGCGTTACTTCATTTGCTTGTTTTTGAGACACATTCTGACTGCAGTACAGTCTGTAGCCCAGGCTAGACTGGAACTCACAACAATTCTGCCTCATCTTCTTGGGTGTGGGATGACAGGAATGGACCTGCCACACCAAATACTTTTTCTTTTCTTTGATTTTCTTTTTCAAGATAGGTTTCTCTGTAGCTTTGGAGCCTGCCCTGGAACTAGCTCCTATAGACCAGACTGGTCTTGAATTCACAGAGATCCTCCTGCCTCCTGCCTCCAGAGTGCTGGGATTTAAGGTGTGCACCACCACCGCCTGGCTGTTTTTGGTTTTGTTTTGAGACAGGGTCTTACTGTGCAGCCCAGGAGTTATTTAAACTCATAGCAATTCTCCTGCCTCATCTGCCCAAGAGCGGCACACCACCATGCCTGGCTTCGTGCAGGGCACCTCTGTGGAGCAGAAACATCTGCTGTGTGTGGCCACTAGGCCTGAAACTTGCTGTTCCCATAAGGAGACTCTGAACCTTGAGCTGAGCTGGAGTTTGGGAAAACAAACACTGAGTAATGGGATGGACAGAGAGCAGGGCAGGGGCAGTGGGGTGGGCAGGGCAGGGGCAGTGGGGTGGGTAGGG